GTAGTAGTAGTAGTAGTAGTAGTAGTAGTAGTAGTAGTAGTAGTAGTGGTAGTAGTAGTAATAGTAGTAGTAGTAGTTAGAGATGGGATAAATGGCTCTTTGAAGGGATCTTGATCTTGGGGAGCCGTTTGTTTCATAGAGCCGTTAAAAAGAGCCGTTCGATTTTGAACGTATTACATCATCACGTAGGAAAATACGTCATAACGTAGCCGTACATAATGACGTCACCCCGTCACGTGGGTGGAACCATGTGTTTGTCAAGCGGAAACCCCCCTCCCCCTTTCACCGTGAGCTTCTGTACACCACAACTCTGCCTGTTTTCCATGAAAAAGCAAAGCGGGAGCAATTTAAGTATGAAAATTATACAGATTATATGAGTAATAAAAGAAATAAAACTACAAATGGCTCATTACTGCCCACGATTCGGCTCCTATCGTTCGTTGTAAAGAGCCGTTCAAAAGATTCAGATCGTTTGCGAAGGTCACATCTCTAGTCGTAGTATTACCTGTTGTAAATAGTTCAAATTGGACTGGATGAAGCTAACAGCTACTTCGTGCAGGGTAAGACCAAAGTGGATTGCAACCATCTTAATTCTAATATAATTTAATAGACCTTCATTTAAAATATTTTTTTTAACCAACGGCTCCCAAACAGTCCAACTTCCAGTCTTCAGGGTTGAACCAAGGCAGAAACTTCAAATATCAACTATCTTTGGGTAAAGTGTGCAAATATTTCAATTACAGAAGGACATAATGACTGTAACTCTTTACAAATATGCCAAAAATTAACGATAATAAAATTAGCTATTTATTTTCTGGTAATCATCTCAAGACTCCAAATGCAATCCCAACTTTTTGAGCCATTGTTCTACAATTACACATTGCTTTGAATTTTGTATGATGTGATTTATATCAAATTCGGTGGTTATTTCCAAGCACAAATAGGAGCAGCACCTAGCTGTAGCAATTAGTGCAGCCTGGTGAGCTTCAAACAGTACTGTTTCTTCAGGAATATTGTCTTAAAGGGATCCCTGATTAGTTGTAACATTAGAGTTTATTTGATAAAGATATATTCTAACTGTAAAATAAAGACTGTAAAAATACTGTAGGC